CCTGCTCTCCCTCCAAGCGCCATCTTTGGCCGGGATGCCCTTGGAAGTAGCGGGGGGGTGGGGGGGGATGTGGGAGCAGAGCTGGGAAAACTCAGGGCTGGGGCTGAGCGAATGTGCCCCGGGCTCCCGGGGAGGGTCTGTGCGCCGTGGGGCTGGTGGCCCCTCCGCCTTCGTCATCCTGGAGCTCTTCCCAAACGGCTCCAGCGCAGACCGGGAAGCGGTGCCAGCCAGCTGGCTCTGTCCTGCCCACAGATCTCGCCTGCTCGTCCTATTTTCCTCTGCTGTCTTTGGCACCCGTTAAAGAACCTGCTCGGGTTTTGTTTGCCTTAACCCTCCCTGTGCCGAGCTCTTCCCGCTCTGCGGGGTCCTCTGCTTCGGGGACAGCGATGCATCCCCCTTCCCATCAGCTGGCTCTGGGTGACGTGCTCCAGGGCTGCTTTGAGCCTCAAACCCCTTCCCATCACGTTTATCTCTTTCCCACCTCGTTGCCACCTCCCTGCTGCTGTCGGATGCCTCCTCTGGACCGCGGCAGATGCCCAGCGCAGGTGCCCTGAGGACACGGGTCCCTGCACGAGGCTCCCTGGCCACTGTCACGCCACCAGCCAGGCAGGGACCGGCCACTGGCCTTCCCCGGGGCTCTGCCAGCCCATGTGGCTTTGGGACCGCAGCGCCGTCATGCTCAGCTCCCGGCGTCCCGCTCCACGGAAGGAGCGAGCGGGTCCCTTTCTGTCATCAGCTTGGGCTCGGGGCAGGATCCGGGCTGGGCGGTGGCGGGACAACCCCCTCTTCCTCCGTTTGAGCTTTTTGCCTCTTATTCTGGACGTCTGGTTTTGAGTCTGTACCAAAGGAGGCTAAAATTAACGTCCTCAGAAGATGCCGTAAATATTCTATCTACCGGGAAGGCAGTGAAGGCGCAGCCTTTTACAGCTGTCTTTGAAAGCCGTGCGGTGTTTTATATTTAGCTTTCCATTTCCCGTGCGCTGCTGCGGCTCTGCCTTTAGATAAGACGGCTTTGCCGGTCCCGCTCGCCGCATCCCCAGGAGCTGGCGAGGCGAGGCGAGGCGCTGGGCTGTCTGAAGGCTTCTGCTGCCTTATGCAAACCCAGAACTATTTTGGCCGTGAGGTCTCTTCCAACCCAAACCGTTCCATAATTCTATGATCCTGCCCACCCCGAGCCCCTGGGTCAGCCCCTCATCCCGAGCAGCTCCGCTGACCTGGCTGCAGCCACGCTTTTCTCGGCTAATAAATAACTCGGCAGATGCCCATCCTGCGTCCGTGGCTGAGAGCTGCGTGCTGAGCCCGGAGCTGGCTGCGCTGCAGAGCAGTCCCCGCAAAAAAACAATAAATACGCGTTAAGCTTTTTCCTGCGCTCCTGGTGCTGTGCTCGTTCCCTAACGCCGACAGATCCCCCCCGCTAAAAAAGCACTTCAGCTCGAGGGGATTCCCAAAGAGCGGCTCTCGGTTTGAGGGCAGGTTTCGGTGGGGTTTCTGATGGCTGTTTTTTGGAGGATGGGCGGTGAGTGCGGTTTCTGAAGGAGAGAGGTGTTCCAATGCGGTGAGTCGTCTCTGAGTCACACTTT